TCATCATGTCTTACGCCGTGGTCCTCATACAGACCACTCAATAGTGATTGTAATATAAAACACAATTACAAACATATAGTTTAATAATAACTTAAAGTTAAAATTCTGTATTAAAAGCATTTTATTTTTAAGGCATGGAATTAAATGATTTTCATATACAGAGTACTAGTGATGAAATACATTGAAAATTTAAAATTTATAAGTTTTGGCAACTTTTGAACAGACTCTTCAATCGCCGGTGTTTTCTTTAATCGCTTATAAATCTTAAGACATTGAATGTGTGGTAAATGTGTGTCAATGGAGTCAAAGAATGTCTCATTCAATACACAATTAGGCAAATCGAGTGACAAATGTGTCAATCGTTTCAATGGTGACAACGATTTCGATGATAACTCAATGCAATCCGTTTCACATGAAATGCAAACTCCAGTCGTTGCAAGCGTTTCATACGACCCATTGATTCACACAATTGTCTCACTTTGTGTGCACCAGTTATACAGTGCATCTTCAGTTCATATCTCTTGAGTTGTGGCCATTGATCGACAAACTCTTGGCAGTGATAGTCAACCACAGTCTCGACGATAGTATGCGTTTTCATAAGCAATATAAGTCTCAATTCTCGCAATACTTTCAATTGTGTTCATTGTTTCAATACATCGATACATCGATACATCGCTTTTCATCTCCCGTTACCGTTAACTCTAAACCCAATGTAAGACACTTTCAGCTGTTCTTATAGTAATCAACAAATGCATGCAATTTATTATCGTCTATAGAATTAAAGCAAAAAATGTTAATTTTATGCAAATTCGCAATAATTATATCATTATTTTGATCGACAACTGCGGCTAATGTTTGGAGAAAAACGGATATTTGTCTCAGTTTTGTGTAGGAATTTCAATGCTTTCTAAACACTTCATAACCCGGTGTCGGCACTGATATAGCCGTCAATTGTGAGCCATATTTACACACAATTCTGTCCATTATTTTCACATCAGTTTTATAGTGAAATCTCACATCAATTGCATTCAATGAGTGTTTGCATGAATTCGTGAGTCTTTCAAACAGTATTGCCGTCTCCTGTGAATCGATAGTCATATCAATGGATGTAATGTTTGAGCACTTCTTAAGCTGTGCTCTCAATGTCTCCCAATCGACGCATCCCTCTCAAGCCCTCTTTAATCGACAATTTGTTTATCAATTGATCGTTGAATTCAAGGGAATTCTTGAAGTGAATGCACATCTCATCCACTGTTTGGACAGACATTCAAATCGGAAACAGTCTTCGAGTGACAGATAAGACAATACGAGTCCACACAAGTCATCCCCATATCTGTCGAACGAGTCTTTCGTATAATATTCCTCTGGAGTGCCATTCGTGTCATTCAAAGACATCTGTCAATAAATATTAACACAAAGTAATGAATACTTTTCATTCAAATGACATAAAAAGTGAAGTCTTTTACAAACCTTTTGCATGAATTGATGGCTCGTATAGTCTTCTCCATCCTCTTCATCCATGTCTTGATTAACAGCCAAACAGACAATCAAATCGCGGATCAAATGAAACCCTTCACCAAACAATGCTTTGAAATGTTGACACAATTTGCGACTAATTTGGACTCAAATCTAAAAACTGTTTGTTTTGCGAAACAAAGCATTCAATGAATCATTGAATCGACCGTTCATTCAACCAATGCTTGCATTGAATACTGTGTGCCATCTGTTGGCAACCAATGCTTTCAATACAAATATTCATTCAATGAATCATTCAATACTTTCATTGAGTCTATATTAGAGTAATAGGAAAAATTCCTACTGTATTATGAATGGTATTTCTAATTTATTTTTAAACATTTATATTATTCACATTTAAACCCCCTGTACACCTTTAATTGATAAAACATAATTACAGTAAATATTGAAATATTACAATAGATTTTTTTTATAATTTTATATTGAATATGAAAATCATTGAAACAACAACCTAAACTAGAATCAATTACTATAAATATAAAACTACAATACTTTTACGTATAAAATAAATTCATAAATCATTTTAAAAACTACAATAAACAGATTTTTAAAAAAAAGTTTTAAACTTTTAAAATCAAAACTTCTAAAACTGTTAAAAACCAAATCATAAGTTACACCAAAACATTACAAAACGCCTAAATCTCGGTGTCATTCACTTTCAGGGAAAGTCGTCGACCTCTTTGGACAGTTGGGTGACCACCTTCTGGATGTCCTTATTATCTTTGGCCAACTCCTTCAGCACTGCCAACAACTTCGTCATAGTCTTCGGCAAACTCTCGAAAATCTTATCCTTTTTGAAGTGATCGCTCGTATCCTTCAATACCCCCTTCAACGCCGCCCATAAGCGCTGGGCTCTCAGAGCAAACTCGACCGACACCTCCTTAATCTCCTTGTGGTCCACCACCGCCTCCACGGCATTTAGAGCACCGTTAGTATCGGTGGCGGCCGTGAGTACCGCCGACTCATACTTAGTCTTATTCTTGTCGGCCGCCGCATCCGCAGCCATTTGTAGGGAATGGTTGGCCAGTAGTACATAATTAGTTGCAGTTGTGGAGGGACTGGTAGGCATTGTCTGATCCTTTTTCACCCGATCCCGGAGCCGGTTGTTCAGCCGCTGATTTGTCAGATGAAGTTTACCCAACAGTGTGGAGTAACTGACCACAACATTGGACTTGATTTTGGCCAGTCGATCCCGGA